TGTGTGTGTGTGTGTGTGTGTGTGTGTGTGTGTGTGTGTGTGTGTGTTTGTGTGTGTGTGTTCTGATAGCACAGTCTGTGCAGAAGATGACTGTGCCATAAGTCTCATATTTCACCAGATGTTACATTATATATATATGACAGAGATGTATCTACGAGTAGGGATTTTGTGATATGATGCTTGCGGGCGTGTCTGTGTATGTGAAGCTGTCAACTGCACTGGGAGACTCGTGAGCTGTGTACCATGAGCACATTTGTAAACAAACCTGATGATGAATACAATGAAGATGACAACTATATCTATTTTCTCTTGCAAAATCCAGAGCTGTGTTTTTCTTTTTCTGTGTTCGCACCACTGTGTAGTAGGCACTCCAAACCACCTTCACAAAGCTACAGCATGGATTCAAATCTCCTATAGCCTTATAGCAGGAGATGTTCTTCTTCCTGTCATAACGCTGGAGTGTCTTAAACACACATACATAACATTAGACTTTCATCTTGGTGACAACTCATCATTAACTCATACAGAAAAGCAGGAAGCACATGAAAAGCGACAAGCGTTCGAATGTATGATCTGAACTGCGTGTGTAGTCATGTGTGTGGATTCGACTTGTTGAATTAAAAGAGCAGATGAAAATGGTGGAAGAGTAAAGAAGAAAAGCAGAAAACATGCCATTTGTTCTGATCAAGCAATTAGCTGCAAAGCCTACACAAATTTTCCATAGTAACATTGCCATTTCTGCTAGGTGAAGAAAGAGAGGCGGACAGTTTGAGGTACGCTAAGAGCATGTTGGAATAAATCAGCACAATAAACCACCAACTTTCAACATGAGTGCACTTACACCGAGCTGCAAGATATATCCACAATGGAGCAAAATGTTAATCACTTTAATTTTAATGTCCTTGAATGAAAACCAAACTTGTTTAAACAGAGCAGCTCAGTAAATGCATGAAAAAAAAACAATTGCACGGGAGAGAGAGAGACACGAGAGAGGAAATCAGTACCAACAGGAGATGCTGTGGACTCTTAATGGCCCACTGTAGTCAACAGGAGATGCTGTGGACTCTTAATGGCCCACTGTAGTCAACACGAGATGAGCTAAATAAAACATTAAAAGCTGGTATTATGTCTTTTCCACTGCGCCATCCAACCTCTGTGTATCATAAGTCAGTGGGTGTGAGAATACTAGGCCAGCACTCCACTTAGCCCACAGTAGGTCATGTTATCTGAGCTCATCCATATTCATGACCCTATCACTGTAACCACATGTTCTGCTGGGATGTGCCCCTGCAAAGGTAATCTCGCTCTCTCTACTGTACAGTTCACAGCTTGGCCTCTTGAACTCCTTCATTTGAAAACATTAGCGTGGCTCTGCCTCACTGTGGAGCTTATACTGAATTAGCAGTGGTTTGATTGTGTAACCGTTTCACATAATGTGAAGGAGTATCAGTGAGTCACAGTAATGGTACCCAGAGAATCAATGTATTGGATGTTACAATTTCCTCTATGTGACCCTGTACAAATGCATCATTTTGTTGAAAATGTCAGGATGGAGATATGTCTTCGCTTGACATTTGAAAAGGACATAAGGGCCACGGGGTTCACACAAAGCAGAAAAGACAGCGGACTGATGATTTCATTACTGTACAGCACTCTCTCTTTATTAAGGGGAAGCAATAGTAAACGCTGAGTCACCCCTTTTGACAACTGGTAATGAACAAACAAGAATTGCTTTCAGAGGAGAACAACACATGCTGCTAAAATGTCTGAACTTTTCTTTAATTCAATTGTACTTTCATTTAATGGAGTAACAACAATGACTGCCAGATAGAAACGGTTACCCTGATGATGTCGGCGTAGAGAGACTGATATTAATTCACAAAAATCGCTTTCAAGTACTGGGACAACTAGCACAGGAAAGTTTTTTCATTTCGTCCCTGGTTACAAGATACATTTAACCTGCACATTTAAACCTCCCTTCCACAAATCTAAGACAACAGACTTATTAGTTTCAGCGTCTTCGCCCGTCACATGTTGTGTCTGCAGGCCCCTAACTGGCAGTGGCCGTCAGCAGCGGTGATGTGACCCTAAACGGCCCAGTAGCGACACATTTCCACTCTGGTGCTCTGCTCTATGCAGCAGGCTGCTCATTGTCAGAGCGCGTCGGAGCCTCCCTGTCAAAAATCATTGTCGCCGTCACAATATTCAGCCCCACAGCCCTGGCTGGCATTTTAGACAGAGGATCACAGGCTGGCGGGTGACACAAGCAGCCAGACACATATGCAGCACCGAACGCATCTGCATTAACACCAAAGTACTTTGCTGGTGTGCCAATTGTTTAAGGCAGAGATGGGATGTTGGAGCAGCAATCTAACATCTCTGCCGAAATCCCTGACCTGTTGATTCATTCACGAAGGGCTACAGGCTGACCTTAGACCTGGCACACTTTTAACTATCCTTTTAAATGTCAAGGCAGCTGAACCCGGTGAGAAGTGAGACCGGGAGAATAAAATGCTCCGTTCTGGATCACTGGTGTCACAGATGGGAGACTATTAAACTGAATATCTGGTACGAATAATGGGTAAAGCTTGAGCTTATGTTTTGATCCAAAACCTCTCAGTTTAGAAATAAGTGGGTTCAAATTTGCCACGGAACTTTTTTGTATTAATCACTTTAAATTCTGATAATACATTTCTAAAACTTAAGTTGGTTATTTCCGACATTAAAAAAGTGCTTTCACTGCAAAAAAAATGGAAATAAATTAACTTTTGTTCAAACATTTTTCCTGAAAAATCGTTGTGGCCAGTGACCATAGTCGGCTGATAATATGAAGCCGAATTGTTTTAATTGACTTAACAAGCGCATCATCTACATGCCCTAAAAAAAGTAGTTGGTGGTATGCACCGTTAAAATTAGTTTGCGATTCACCAATAAGAAGAAGTCCCACCCCTTACGGTGGACCACCATTGGACCTTATTTTGGAAAAAATATGTACGGTAGTTGATGGTGAGAGACGCATCATTTTATGATCCTGTTTAAATTGTGCCATGAATTATACATATGATGTTTGTCAATGTAGAAGATCATTTCACACGTCAAGACAGTTGCAGTTCAAAAGTTGCGTATGTTACATTTCTCGTTGAAGCTACGATGCTCGTGTGTTTCGTACTAGGACGTAACTCACATTGACAAATTGTCTTGTTTGTCATTTGGCTTTCTGGCTGATAAAAAGAGTCGTGAGATAAAACACATCAGGTAAGAGAACGCTGTTATGTGTTACACACCACGGCATCATAAGTGAGTCCTAAATCTAAATCCCATTGGCAGATTTGTTTTCCCTTGTAAGGAAAACAAGATTAAAGACTCCGCAGTGGACCGAAAGGTTGGAGTGACTTTACAGTGCTGTGTACAAGGTCAAATGAAATATTAAAGCTCGGTAAAATAGCAATACTAATGTCAAATACTGTGTTTACATGAAAGTCCCTGTTGTAAATGTATGTCCTTTCTGCTTTTGTGGCCATGGCCACAACCGTTCCATAATAATGAAATGATATCATGAGTGTAACCCTGACAGAGTACTCCAGTATGTTTAACCTTGTTTAAAGCTAAAGACAACAAGGCTGTTGCTCCAGTCAAGCAGAGACATTGTTTTGGCTTCTGCTACAATCCAAATCCGTCTCTTGCTGTTTTTGAAATTAGACTGCTTTGCCAATCGCCAAACACTCCTCCAGTAAAAAGCTTTTTGCTGTTCCTTCTCCATGGCTGGACAGAGAAGCTTTAATTAAAACTCCGATCTGACTGTTTCCCCCCTTGACTGCAACAATGCACATTTAGAGGGATGTGTGTGTGTGTGTGTGTGTGTGTGTGTGTGTGTGTGTGTGTGTGTGTACCAGGATTCCAAGCAGATATCTGTGAACGTGTGTGCAAATACAGATGTTTTTGCGCATTTATGTACATGTAAATGTGTATGTCCGTGTGTACATTTGTGTTTGTGTTGAGATTTTTGTTTTGAGATTTATGTTGATTAGTGTTTGGGAAACGATCTCTTCCAATGTGCATGGCGTGCACCCTAAAAAAAGCTCATTACAAGATGCACACTCCATCTAAAATCTATTTCACCATCTGGAGACTTTCAGGATAAATCAATCTTGTTCGTTCAACAGAAAAGTCATTCAATTTCAATAAAACGGGCAATCTTCGCAGACAAGTTAACATTTGATAGAAAAAAAAAAGTACAAATTTACTGTCGACCGAAGACCAATTTACCTAGTTGCTCCTTTGCTCGATGATGTAGTTGCCAGATTGTGTCTTAGATTAAACAAAAAGAAAGTGAGTGTAGAAAGGGATGTCCCACAACACCTACACTCTTCCAAACTAGGCTTGCATAAACTGGGCCAGTGAGGCAGGATTTGGCCTCATACTGTATGTATCTGGGCCTCGACTCCAGAGGGGGACAGGCAGCGTAATAAGTCGGTCTGTCAGCTGACGGCTACATCTGATAGTTTCCCCCCTGTGACTACTGTCATCTCAGCATCCTGCTCCCAGGCTGCAGAGCGCACCCCAAACCAGGCATCTAAATCTGTAAGCAGCATGCAGACATACATACAGATACATGCACAGACAGCCTGTCTGCAGCTGAAATTAGGTTGTCAAAGCTAACAGGCAGCTAGTCAGGCACTTTGTCTCCATGTCCACCAAATCCAATCAATAACCACAATTACTGGAGCCGATGTGCAATGGCCTAAATGTACTGTATCTATGAATATAAAGGGGGAAATTGAACTTGTCTCATAATATATGAGTTCAACATCTTTTTAAGGGTTTCTGTAATTTATTTATTTTTTCTCCACTGAGAATAAGGCTTAAAGGGAACTATGTTCGGGGACATTTTCGTTTTGACTGACAGGTGCTTGTTTAGTCACCGCTCTTCAGCTGCATTTAGTTTAGTATGGGGGAAATGAATATGTCTCATCAATTTATACAT